TCTCCTCCTCCTCCTCCTTCCTCCTCCTCCTCCTCCTCCTCCTCCTCCTTCCTCCTCCTCCTCCTCCTCCTCCTCCTCCTCCTCCTCCTCCTCCTCCTCCTCCTCCTCCTCCTCCTCTTACTCCTCTTCCTCCTCCTCCTCCTCCTCCTCCTCCTCCTCTTTCTCCTCCTCTTCCTCCTCCATCTCCTCCTCCTCCTCCTCCTCCTCCTCCTCCTCCTCCTCCTTTTCCTCCTCCTCCTCCGCTTTTTCTACAACCTCTACTTCTATTACTACTACTACTACAGCTATTACTATTATTACTACTATTGCCACTTCTATTACTCCTCTCCATCCTCTGTCATCCTCCTCTTCCCCATCTTCCTCCTCTCCTCTTCCCCCTCTTCCTCCTCTCCTCTTCCCCCTCTTCCTCCTCTCCTATCCTTTTCATCTTCTTTCTCCTTCCCCATCCTCCCTCTCTCTTCTCTCTCCTCTTGTCTCTGTTCTTCGTTCCCATCTTTTAGAAGAGGAGAAGATAAGAATAATCAAAGACACAAGAAAGTAAGAATCGAAAATAAAAAAGAGAGAATTACACAAGACCGATTGTAGGAAAAGGCGGCGGCGCCCTTGACTTTGCGGAACCGGGAGGCGGTGCTCTGGACGGCGTTCCCTTTGGCTGAGTAGTTGACGGGGGGGGATGGTTGACTGGCTGGCCGAATGGCTGAATGACCGACTGAATGGCTGAATGACTGACTGACTGACTGACCGACTGACAGAATGACTGAATGGCTGAATGACCAAATGATAGAATGACTGATAGAATGACTGACCGACTGAATGGCTGAATGACCAAATGACTGACCGACTGAATGGCTGAATGACCAAATGACTGACCGACTGAATGGCTGAATGACTGATAGAATGACTGGTAGACTGACTGGCTGGCTAGATTCTGGCATTCTCTTGTCTGTCTTACTTTATTTTATTATTTTTTTGCCGGTGTCTCTGACTGTCTCCCTTTCATCCGTTCTCCCACTTTCCTTTCTTCCTTTCTTCCCCTCTTCCTCTCTTCTTTTCTTCCTTTATTCCTCTTCTGTCTCTCTCTGCCTCTCTCCCTCATCCTCTCCCTCACCCTCATCCCCCCTCCCCGCTCCCCCTCCCCTCCCCCAGTCTGTCCGCGTGTCTGCCTCTGTCCGCCGTAACCGGAAGCTGCATGGACGCGGGCGCCGGGCTTGTTGTCGGGCGTCTGATGTCGTCGTCTCCGCTCTCGTCGCCGCGATTACTAACTTACTTGTACACGCTTCCAAGCACGCGCTCCCTGGCTTTGTGCATTTGGGTGTTTGCCAGTTGATGCGCACTCAGGCGCGCGCGCTAAAAATAGAATGTTCATTGCGGGTGTTGATGAGGCACACGTGGACATACGCGCACACACATGGACACACACATACACACACAAATACACACACAAATACACACACAAATACACACACAAATACACAAGTACACGCCACGCACACATACAAACAGGCACGCGTTCAGACACGCACACGCACAGACACGCACACGTACAGACACGCACGTACAGACACACGTACAGACACACACGTACAGACACGCACACGAACAGACATACACACGTACAGACAAACACACACAAACATAAACACAAATAACCTACACATACACATTTCGTTCATTTACTCAATCGCACACTCTCCCTCACACACGCTCACACTCGCACTTCGCCCTGGGACTTTCCCCTCGGACCAAGGGAACACCGACGCCACGTCATCATAATAATAATTCGGAGAAAAGTCGGCCTATGCAGCCGGCGGCGCAAGGGGGGGGGGGGGGGGTTCCCGGGTCGATGCATAGACGGAGGGAGGGGGGGAGGAAGAGGGAGTGAGGGAGATGGGGGTCATGGGAGGGAGGGAGGGAGAGGGAGGGAGGGAGATGGGGATTGTGGGAGAGAGAGAGAGAGAGAGAGAGAGAGAGAGAGAGAGAGAGAGAGAGAGAGAGAGAGAGAGAGAGAGAGAGAGAGAGAGAGAGAGAGAGAAGGAAAGAGAGAGAGAGAGAGAGAGAAGGAAAGAGAGAGAGAGAGAGAGAGAAGGAAAGAGAGAGAAAGAGAGAGAGAAAGAAAGAGAGAGAGAGAGAGAGAGAAGGAAAGAGAGAGAAAGAGAGAGAGAAGGAAAGAGAGAGAGAGAGAGAGAGAGAGAGAGAGAGAGAGAGAGAGAGAGAGAGAGAGAGAGAGAGAGAGAGAGAGAGAGAGAGAGAGGGCGAGAAAGAGAGAGGGGGGGGGGGGAGAGAGAGAGAGGCCGAGAAAGAGAGAGAGAGAGAGAGAGAGAGAGAAAGAGAAGATGGGTGAGCAAACGAAAAGAAAGACAAAAGAAAAAGGCAGATAGAAAGAAAAGGAAGAAAAGGAACACCAAGAAAACCTGAAAAAACATGAAAGAAGGGAGGAAACCAAGGAGGAAGGAAGAGCGCGGGCGGAGGGCTGGAAGAGGGCGGGTCGGGGAAGACGAGGAGGGCGATGGAGACATCACAGGGATCATAAGGAACTCGAGACGGAACCAAGGAGGGGGAGGGAGGGGTGGGGGAAGGAGGGCCAGGAGCGAGTTTTGGGTTTGGGTAAAGGGCAGCGGGTAGGGGTGGTGGGTAACGGGCGGGAAATGGGTAGGGGTGAAGGGGAAGCGTCGAGGGTATGGACAGGGATAGCGGGTAGGGGAAGTAGTTGTTGTGGTGGTAGAGCGGCGGCTGGGCAGAGTAGGGTAGGGTAGGGGTAGGGTAGGGTAGGGTAGGGTAGGGGTAGGGTAGGGTAGGGTAGGGGTAGGGGTGGTTTTTGACCTTGGTGGACCTATTTAAGGGGTGGGCGTGTGTCTTGGGCATCGCCTCCGGATCCTGGGGCACCGTCAGCCTTAGCTACCTGTCATGGGTTTTGGGGCTAGGAATGTTGTGTTGCAAGGTGCGCATTGCAGAGGGATCGAGGTCTTACCTATGCTGACGATGGCGATTGCGATTGTTGGTGGTAATACGTAGTGGCATTTGCGGTCTTTTTAAGGGGGGGATGGATGTTCTCCTCCTCCTCCTCCCTTGCTGCGACTTCCCTTTATTCTCTAGTCTCGTTAGTTAATTGCTCATTTGCTCATTCACTTCCATGCTCACGTACATACTCACTCACATACTTATGTACATACTCACTCACATACTTATGTACATACTCACTCACATACTTATGTACATACTCACTCACATACTTGTATACATACTCACTCTCGCACTCTCTCACTCTCACCTGCTTAATTACTCACTTACTCACTCACTCACTCATTCCACTCCCAACACTCTCCTCCCCCTCATTAACCTCCCCATCCCCTCCTTTATCCCCCCCCACCCTTTCAACCCCCCCCCCCCCCCACACACACACACACATGACGGTCCTCGGTGGCCTCCCCGCAGCCTCTTCCGGGGACACCTTCCGCCCGTAATTGTCACCCGCGCCACGCATCTCATACATTGCGGGAGAGGGAGCGAGGGTTACGTGAGGCGGAGGGGGAGGGGGAGGGGGAGGGGAGGGGGAGGGGAAGGGGGAGAGGGAGGTGGAGGGAAGGGGAAGGGGGAGGGGGACGGAAGGGGGAGAGGGAGGTGGAGGGAAGGGGAAGAGGAAGGGCTAAGGGGGAGGGAGAGGTGGAGTTGGAGGGGGAGGCGGAGGCGGAGGGAGGGGGGAGAGGGAGATAGTTGAGAAGAGGGGAAGGGGGAGAGTGGGGGAAAGGTATGAGATTGGGGATGTTGCGAGGCATACAGAAGGCGGAGGGGGAGAGGGAGAGGAAGGGACAAGAGGTGGGAGGGAGAGGAAGGTGGTGGAAGGATGTTGGAGATGTGGGGGAGGGAGGGGGGGATAGGTAGTTGAAGAGGAGGAGGAGGGGGAGTGGGGGAGGGGGAGGATATGGGAGAGGGGGAAGGGGAGGCGGAGGTGGAGAGGGGTAGATGGAAATAGGGAGGAGAGGAAGGAGGTGGAATATGTTGGAGATGTGGAGGGGGGCAAGGAAGGGGAAGAGGGAGGGAGGATGGAGAAGAGGTGAGGGAAAAGAGGGAAAAGGATGGGGATGGAGAAGGGGGTTGGAAGTAGGAAGAGAAAGGAGGGATGTGAAGATAGAGAAAGAAATGAGAATGAAAATGAAAAAATAAATATGGAATGGCGGGGACGAAGACCAGAATGCAAGAGGTTGGCGGAAAGCGCAGTGAAAGCGCGTGGACGCAAGAGTTAGGACGAAGCAAGAGTCTCGAATGAAAAGAAACTTCACGATGAAAGGAAGATAGGTTTTCACAGAGAATGAGTGAAAGTCGGAGTGACATTTGAGAGTGGTAGCTGAGTGAGTGAGAGGGAGAATCAAAGAGAGAGAGAGAGAGAGAGAGAGAGAGAGAGAGAGAGAGAGAGAGAGAGAGAGAGAGAGAGAGAGAGAGAGAGAGAGAGAGAGAGAACAAACTAGAA